TTTATATTAAATAGCATTATAAATATAAACGACACTTCACCAATACTTTGACGGCAATTATCCGTCAGATTTTAATACAAATTGTGATTATATTTTCGAAAAATATAAGTCTATGAATTCATATAAAAATATTACTGTATGATTGAATAGCCATCCAAATTTATAATGCTATTTTATATGTAAAATGTGCATGTCACCAGCGACTATAATTGGATTTACGGGATTAGTTGGTGATATTCGGAAAGTTTGATCAATTCAAATGGCAGATATGATCATTGAGTTTTTCAAGCGAGAAGCGGCCGTTTTTGCGGCCAAAAGTTGGATGACATGATGATCTTTGAATAGCACTGTATATGACTACACGTATATGACTGCGTTTAAACGTATACATTTGCCGGAAAACTTGCCGCACATTGAGTGCTTACTATACGGTTGAGTGCCGTTCAAACGTTTAGTACATTCCGTCTTTAAAATAACGTTAATTTATAGAAAAATGATCATGACAGCCAACTTATTGACCCCAACAGTGGCCACTTCTCGCCCAAAATCGCACATTTTGACCATGCAGATTTATTAATGGCATAATTATGTTTATATACAAATAAATTAAACAAGCATGGTCAACTTTCATTAACGAGAAATTCTTTCTAGGTCATAATGCCTATAAATAAGACATAACATAATAGGATAAATATGAGGGTTAGACATATTGGGCGCCGCCATCGACCACAAAGTTGGATCCGGTCACAAACGACGCGTCATCGGACGCCAAATAAAACACGGCTTTTGTCACATCCAGGGGCTCACCCACCCGTCCTATCGGACACTTCTCGGCCTTCTTTACATATAATTGATCGCATTTTTCTTTAGTCAGGTTAAGACTGATTCCGAGGGCCTCGGTCTTAACGAGACCGGAACTTTTACCGCAAATATATTGAAATTAACAAGCACATTAAGTTTATATTAATCAATTACTATTACTATAGCAAATATAAACAAGCACACACTTGATAACGTTAGCCCGTATGCCTTTGGGGCCCAACTCGAGCGCTACGCACTTTGTGAACATATCCAGCGCCGCCTTTGACATTGAATTCAAATAAGAGAGCCCTCTCTATGATAAATTAAAATTAAAATTATATTTAAACAGGGTAATTCAATAACTATGCATGGCTACTAAAAGCATGAACATTTTTAAAATATTTTTTTTGTACACAAACATATTGAATGACCATGCGCATAAAGCAAATATAAATAAAATAAATGTTTTGTAAATAATTACCGGTTTAAAGGCCGTAACGCTCGAAACGTTAACGATATTACCCTTAGTTTTCTCCAAATGCTCGACACATAAGTGAGTCAACCATACGACTGACCGGAGGTTTGTGTTCATAATGAGCTCATACTTATCGAGGATATCCCCGTTCCCTATGCTCAACACTATACCTCTACCCGCGTTGTTGACTAAAATGTCCAACTTTTTGAACGTCTTGATAGTGTCGGTCACTAATCGGTGACAGTCGTCATCGTTGGTGACATCCGCCACCACTTCCAGGGCTTTAGCACCGGTAGGCGACGCCTCAGTGCAC